GACTGTATTAGTTAATTGAATTTGTGTACTTATTGTGTAAGAAAACTTTTATATAATACCTTTACAAATTTTCTCTTTAATTAATTATTTTCCTATATATCAAAATGATCGGAGAATATTCCTATCCATATTTACACAATACTGGTAAGACTTGTGGTAGGTCCTGCATGCGTGAAGAAGAGTGTCATGAGTATTAGAAAACTAAGGTACGTATACTATGTAGCATATATGGTAAGCCTACTGGCTCATCTTTTAGGTGGTATCTATCACATGTTAAAGGTTATTATGTGATTCAATACTATAACAGATTATATGATAAAGCCTTAAAAAACTCAGAATAAATATTAACTTTTAGTTAATTTTTTTGGATAAACTTTGCTATGCAATTTTTGGTTAGATTTTTTTGATAGACTTGGTTATGTGAATTTTTTTTGGTTAGACTTTTTGACTTTGGTATGTATTTTAAGCTTGCATGATCAGGCTCAGCTCAAATCGCGTCACTTTGTTCATTGATTTTTGATGGCCCCTCTAGAGGCAAGTAGAATAGCATAAAAGTTATTATTCATATTAGGTTTGCAAAGTCAAATCGCGTCACTCTGTTCCTTGATTTTTGATGGCCTTTTCTAAGGCAAACAGAATAGTAAAATTTTTTGATATATTATTTGGGATTAAAATCAGGCTAGTATGGCCATTTCAAACAGTATAATTCTTGATATCTGAAGGTTAATTCCAAGTTAAGTTCGATATCATTATCTAGAAATGAGTCAAATCACGTTAGAGGTTTAAATTCAATAATGGATTTGTATAGCTAGAATTGATTCAGAAGCGATTTGGTCGATTTGGTCAACTGTCCCAGAACCACCTTTTTGCTCTATATGAATTTTTACTTTAAAAAAGTGTTTTTTTAAAGGTAATTATAATTCATTTTGTAAATAAAAATCTTCTTATCAAAAATATATCTCTTTTATTTCTATCAATATAAAAATTAATAGGATAACCTAAATTGTATTAGTTTTTATTAATATTTTTCTTCACTTCTTAATATATTTTTTCTCATTTTTTTTCTATAATTTGTCCAAAAAAGTGAGTATCAAAAACATTTTAACCGACAATTAGAATTAATTTACTTTAATATAAAAATCTTATATAATGACATTTTTTTTCTTTTTAAATAATAATACTCTTTTAATTAGCTAATAACCTCTTATTAAATCTTTAATATTAAAGATCACAGATTTTATATGATATTTTTCAAACTTTAATATAATTTAAACTTAAATTTGTATTATAATCTGAATAGATAGATATTTTAACGTTTTTATTAGAACTTAATGATTTAGAATTATCTATATTAGGTGTAAAATCAACTGAATATTTTAGCTAAAATCTTAAATAGAATCATTTTAAGTTACTTTTTTTTGTAAATTCTTTAGCATAAATAGTCAGATTTTATAGTTTCTTCTTTAAAAAATATATACTATTAGTTAAAATTTTTTCTTTTTATTAGTTTAGAAATTTATTTTTAAAAAAAAAATATTATTATATTGATTATTTTCTTTTTTAACCTGTAATAATAAAAATAATTATTAGTCTGAGATTTATAAATCTTTTGAAAGAAGGTGATTAACTCAAATAAACTTTTAATGTAATTATAGAGAATAGTTAATACTTAGTATAGATTTTTAAAATTTACTTTTTTGTAATTTGTATATTTTTAATAAAATTACTAATAGTATCATATTATTACATTTTAAAAAAAAATTTAATTAATAAATATTACTACTTAAATAAAAAAATTATTATTTGAATATCTAATTATTACTGTAAATTGCGGGTCATAGTATCTTCCTAATTATTGTATCCCCCTTTTTTTATTTGAAAAAAATTACATTTTCTATTATTTTTATTATTTAAAAATCTAATTTTAATCAGAAATTGCGTATTAAACAATTTTCTGATAGTTATACAAGTCTTTAACACATTTTATTTTTGTATTTATAAAAGTTATAGACTTGGTAATACAAGGTCAATCATTTGAAATTTACAAGATACCTAGGGTACTATGGCCTACAATATACAGTAAATTATTAAACCAATGCATGATATCGCAATTTCTGCCCCTGGTTTCTAAGCTGTTTATTATGTGCTACGTTTTGGGAATAAAAGCCTCCTTTTTTAGTAAAGCAATAATGGTTAAGGAATGGCTGAAAAAATTTTTTTTTCAAATTCTGATGCGGAAACATGATCTTTTTTTTTTAAAGATGACATATAACAAAAGTTATCCAATTAACTATGGGCGATAATCTTACGTAATTTTACCTAAACGATTTTCAGTTTAGTATCAATGAAATGGTTCTTTCTTATTGAGTTCTTTCTTATTGACCTACACTTCTTAGAGAGCACCAAAGATTTACATAAAGACTATAGAAATCGCATTTATCATAAAATACTTGCTTAAATTAAAAGGAATGTCCTTATGATCATGTCATATCGTTTTCTGCAAGAACTTTTTTTTTTCTTTTTTAAAATGTTGAAAAAGAATGATGTAATAGATTTTCATGTGTCTTGCTATATATTAGGTAATACGGCGCTTATTTTAAATGTAAATGAATTAAATGAATAAGGTAATATTATTTTCTACTCTAATATTTATATAAAGATGTAAAGGAGGATTATAGAAAAAAATTATCGTATACTTACTTTTCGTTTTATATTCTTTATTTTTTCGTTCGAATTACGATTTTTTACGATTTTATTTTTATTCAAAGATGTCGTAAACTTTTTTAAAATATCTCGATTCTATTCTATAAAAACAATTATGTCTTCCCACTACCTTTATGATTTTACTTACGCCGGTTCATCTTAATTGTGTTAATCTTTTCGATATTTTTCATCGCTCTAGAAGATATTCAAATAATATTCAGATTTTTCAATTTTATTTTTGGTATGTTTTTCTCTTTTTTTTTTATTTTTTTTTTTCCTTCATTTTTTTTTTAATAAAAAAAGAAAAATTTTTTTTATTAATCATTAAAAAAAAATCTCCAAAACTTTTATTAATAGTTCATAGTCGACAAACGTTAAGGATCTCAAAAGTATGAATTTTTTTCATGAATCCCCGCTTTTTTTATATATATATATATATATATAAATATGTTTAAATGTACATATTTTGAATAATAACCCAATTATTATTAATATTTTATCAAAGGTTATTATTATTTAAATACAAGCAGAATACTGTGTAATAACCCGCAAAGACGTCGCAGATCGTTTGTCTTTAACAACGTTAAAAATAACTACAAATTAAACATTATATATTATATATTATATATAATATATCTCTCGATATGCATTATTATTTTGATTTCAATGGTGGAAACGAAAAAAAAAAAATTTAGAGTACAATTTTTTAAAATGTAAAAAAAAAAAAATCGTAAACACCAACCGTTTTTTTTGTTCAATAAACACGTGACCATTCATTTTTTTTTTCCTATTAAAAAGATTTCCCAACAAACGATAATTTTAGAATGTACCATTATCAAGCCAAACAAGGAAAAATTACTACCCACCAATAAATTTTAGGTGTAATTTTAGTTTGTTATTTCTTTGTCGGACAAAGGTATAAAAATCCCCTTTTCCAAATTTTCAAACTTGGTGTTCAATAATCATGTATGCAATGATTATTTGTAATCGAGGGGGAGATTTACTCACGGAATTTTTTGAATCGAGAACGAAATGGTAAATGCCGAATTCACTTTATAAATCTTCTCCATGTTTGTTTATACACATGGAATATTTGACCACAAAAAAAAAATTTAAAACGTGGCTCGCGACCAATAACGCTAATGTGATTAAATTACCTAATGAAAATCCTTTTTAAAATTTAAAAAATTGGATAACGAATAAGGAAATTCTTTTAATCTAAATCAAAAGTACCAATATCTACTAGAGATCTGTTCATCGGAAAGTTGCGAATAATACCAATGTTATATAATCAAGCCAAAGATACTATCATTCCATAAATGTACAAATTATGAACTTTTAATCTCCAATTTTGGTTATACGATTTATATTTATTTCTTTTTTTTTGGTTATGTAAAACAAATATGCACAAGTAATTTTTTAATTTACGAAAAGCAATGCATTGATCAAAAAAAAAATTGTTTGGTAACAGATTTATCTTTTTGAACACCGCATATGGTATCATTTCGTATTATAAATTTTCCATAATTTTAAGATAAATCCATATGTTTTACAAGAAGGAATCAATTGAATCGAATGATTGCGTGAATTAAAATCGTCCCCCTCATTTTGAACGATTTATTATATTGTAACTGTATGGTTCATAAATTTGGAATCTTTTACACCTTTACGTCGGATACAATTCAATTATAATGCATAGAATAAAAAAAAAGAATAAAAATTATGCATGCAATTAATAATAGATAATTAGATGGCGAGGAAAGCATGAATACAAAGTTGATAGAAATATCGGTTCGTTGAAAAAAGTATACGCTCCAAAAGTCTAATCGACAAGGTTACATCCGGAGATTCAGGTTGAAACAACCTGTTGGAAGAATATTCGCATTCTTTAAATAAACGCGCATCAAGAGATGCATAAAAGTTTCTTATAGGAGTTCCGATATTGATCGTAATACAAATTTTGTACAACTTTTTAGTCAAAAAAAAAGAACAACTTACTTTATATAATACAAAAATTTTCATAATAAATAAACCAACCTCATTTCCCTTTTGAAAAAATTTTTTATATTCCCATTACCTTTTTTTTTTTAGAAAAACAAAAAAAAAAATTAAGTTATTTCATTGTAGAGTTAAAAATCCATCCATTCATTACCTTTTCAATCTCATTTCGTTTCATATTTATTATCTTGTAAACGGTCGGTTTATGAAATCCTAATTAGCAGATCAATAAAACAATACAAAAAAAAATTTAATTTTTTTTGACATTCATTAATTTAAAAAAAAATCGATCAGATAAAATGAAAATAGCCCATCGTATCGATGCAATAAATAAAAGAAATAAAGGAATTAACAATTTTTTTATAGATGACATAGAAACCAAAAATAATCAGATCAATTCCATAATTCCTTTAGATTCAAAAAGTTCTTATATTCATGATCAACATTACGCATCGAATTCCAACGATCCTTTTAGTTCAGAATCGCCTTGGAGGTTACCGGCAATATTGTCATTAGTTTGGACAACGTTTTTATTATTGGCAGTTTTCGCATTTATAATTAAGAAAACGGTATTTGCAGATTTGAATTTACCTTTAGGAAGAAATCGACATCAGCGCATTCGTAGGACAGACGATGACAATGAGTGGATGACTGCTTCGTTTAGTGACGACGATCATGAAGCTGATGAAAACGAAGTTCCGTTATCGGCGAATATATCGAGTAATGATCTCACTGATTGATTACGCGTATCATTAAAAAAAAAAGTTAGCTGTTTCAACCACCATGATTACGTATGCATTTTTATAAGAGATAAGAATATATGGCATTTTATTTTTATTTTATTTTTATTTTTTTTTTAAGGAAATAAGTGCCGCGTTTCTCGCGGGGGGTACCTTTTTTAAGAAATTTTATTAGAGATCAATAAAACCTCATAAAGCGTTTGCCTAAAGAAAAAAACAAGATCTTCTTTTGTAAATAATTTTTGAAGTAACGTCCAAAATCATGAGGAGAGTTATTCGGAAAGGATTTTTTTTTGTAGTTTATAATTACCATTCATGAAAAGTTATTCGTCGTGCTAAATATTTGACACCATATGTAGTGTGTTTACGATCTACATGACACCAAACCATGTGTATAAAAGATCGTATGATTGGATTCTACGATATTTTTAGAATGTTCAAGTTCTATTGGATCGAGACTTGGTTAATTAATTAGTCCGTGCCCGTGATGTTGGACGGCATTTATTTGCTTTGCTTACACAACAGGCTACTGTTAACTATGTTAAGTTAGCTTCTAAAGACTCGGGTATTTATTTTTTGAATTGATGGATGTTTCTCTAAATGTAACGAAATTTTTTTTTCAATTTTAAGTGAACCTAATGAAATTTTTATAATATATATATATGTATATGTATATATATATTTTTTTTTTTGGTTTTGCCATTTTGGAATATCATTAAAAAGATCATATGATATTTATTTTATGAATTCCACTTGCCAAAATAAGTCTAATCAGAATCTTGAATTTCCTGATTTGATTGACCTTAAAACTTTGTTGAAAGTACAGTACTTTGATGTTCTAATAAGATATGATTTGATGAAAAAGTGGGATGATGTTTTTCAATATCATATCCATTAATTGTTACTTTAAAAAGAATGAAAAAAAGGTCAAATGCCTTTTGTGCACATGTGGAGCATGCAGAGTTGTTGAAAAAAGTGGCGTGTTTCATCGATATGAATAAAAGTTCCCTCTCATTAAGACTGCTGTTAAATAATCTTTTATTTTTATTTTTTTTCCTAAACAAATTGGAAACGATAAACAACCTCAACATTTATGAATCTGAAGGTCGAGATTATAAAAAAAAGAAAAAAAAGTAAATTGACTTGCTTGATTATTTTGAGAGATAACAAAAGGTTTTAAACACAACATTAAAATAAGAAAGGAAAAAAAAAATAATGCCTCCTTCCGAAAATTTAAATCAAGAATTGGAACCCTATGACTACCGACACCCCCTTTATATTGGTGATTGGAGAAAATCTATCGCTTACCTTGATGAAGATTTCGCCAGAGATGATTTGGATGAACCTCATATGAAGCGAAGGATAACCATCTTAAGGCAACACCCAGAAATCGAACAATTATACGGATACGATATTAAAACGATACCAATCGCCATTTTAGTCGACCTGATACAAATTCTTTCCGCGTATATATTTGGGCGCATTGCATTGGATCATAATTGGGCGATAATCATATATGCCTTCGTCGTTGGAGGATCGATGACTCAACTTAGTTTTATCATCATTCACGAAGCGGCCCATTGTCTTGCCGCCCCAACGAGATGTCAAAATCGAATTGTTGGACTCTTGGCGAATATAGCGATTCCTTTACCCATAGCAATGTCATTTCGTCGATATCATTTGGAGCATCATGTATTCCAAGGCGTGGATGGGTTTGATCCCGATTTACCTTTAGATTGGGAGAAGAGATTTATTCGCGGCAATACCTTTTTGAAGCTGTTATGGCTTAACTTGTATCCAGTGATCTATCTCCTCCGTAGCGTATCCAACTTGAAGAGTCCCCAGTTCTGGGAATACATAAATTTCATCTTTACCGTCATCATAGACGTTATCATATATTACTTTTGTGGAGTGAGAGGGTTACTCTATCTATTCCTATCAATTTGGTTTGGTTATAGCATTCATCCCGTGGCCGCTCACTTCATTCAAGAACATTATACTTTTGATGATGGGCAAGAGACATATTCTTATTATGGAACTTTAAATAGTATTTTCATGAATATAGGGTATCACAATGAACATCACGATTTCACAAGGGTGAGTAAATAAGTTTTATCATGATGTTTCATTTTGATTATAAGATGGTGACGACCTTTTTAAAAAAAAATATATATATATGATTTTAGATCCCGTGGTCCAAATTACCCGAAATACGTCGGATAGCGACTGAATATTACGATGATTTAGCTTATCACACATCCTGGTTTATGGTGCATTGGAATTTTGTCACTAAGAGTCAATTTGGACCGCAGAGCCGCGTAAGGAGAAGCGTGCGAGATCACAAAAAAGGTCGAAAGATGTTAAGTGTTTTGAAAAAAGCTTTAACAGAAGAATGAAAAAAAAATTCACAAAATAAGTTAACTGATGAGAGAAAGTGAAAAAAATGGCAGGCAGTTTGCTACAAATAATAATTTCATGATGTGAGTGCAAATAATATGAGGCGTTGAACGCCGTTGCCGTTTGCTTTTTGTCGATGGGAATATCTAAAGGAGAATAATTTTTTCGAACAAAATCCAAACACCTTATTAAAACTTTTTTGAAACATTTCAATTGGTGTAAAAAAAATTAACAAAAGTTAATTAAGTTTATCTATAATCATTATGTTTTATCATTATTATATCAAAAAAAAAAAAAAAAAAAAAAAAAAAAAAAAAGGAAAAATTAGGGGAGTACATTATTTATTCCTAAAAAATCGGTCAACGGCGTTTTTTTCTTATTGGTTCCGTATCATAAAAATTTTTTCAGAATACCCAATTTGGAAATTTCTAAATTCAATTCAAAATGCATATTTCATCATATTTAAGTCTAAATGGGATGTTTTGTGATATGATATATGACAGTGACTATATGGACAAAATAATTAAGAAAATAATAAAAATTCAAAATTTTTTTTTATATTAGCCAATAGCAATTTGTCGTTATAATTTGGTTAGAAATATTTCGCTGATAAACAAATTCGTGTAATGATTTTCTTATTGATTTTGAACGTTTTTTCTTTTTTATCTTTTTTTTTTTTATCTTTTTTTTTTCTCATGCATCTTTTTTAGCCCACATTTATTGATGCGAGATTTTTTTTTTTTCGTGAATCAACATATTTTTATGTGATAACGAAAATGTCAAATCCCGAAGATTTGGTAACCAAAAATAATCCACATGATTGTTCACATATTATGTATGTAAATGTGATGAACAAAAAAATTTGACCAAAGTTGCCAATGTTGGGTTAAAGAAAAAATAAAATAAAATTTCTACACAATTCGACAAGTAAGACATACATATATGCAGCACGTAAAATTGTTGTTTATTCGGCAAAAAAAAAAAAAATGTGGCACATGGTTTAAATTTATTTATTCGACTAACACTTCAACAGTTGAAAGTTACAATGAAGTATAAACTTTATACGAATTGGAAAAATTTTTTTCATTGAATTTTCATTGTGATTATATCATATATCTCTACATCTAATCTCTTTCACAACATGATAATGCATTGATCTTCAGGGAAAAAGATAGAGAATCATGTGAAGACATAAACCATATCAACATTATTTCGAATGAATGATGCCAAATTTGACAGATTTCAAAAATATGAAGATTTTCACTCGTTTACGGATGCACACGATGCCAAATTTTTTTTGTTGTTCGACGATTTGAGCGGTTCCCAAGGTTTCGTTAACACATATTTACTAAAGTAAAAAATCTTTCACAAGGCATACACATAAATGACATGTAACTTGCTGCCATAAATATGTTGCGCGTGGATGACGGGTGGGAATTCATCTAATTATCGTGTCACCTTTAAAAAGATTATTTTTAGTTTGATGTCATTCTATGTTCTTTTTTAAATGTTAGAGTTTGGTTATAGTACATACTGTACATATATATATTATAATTGCATAAATGAGATGATTGTAAAATATTCATCAACAAATTGCATATTTCGGACAATGAAAGGAAAAGGGTGTGATCTAGATCCTTGCTGAGCACAAAAAAAAATTTTTTGAATGTTTTTTTTTAAAAAAAAAAATAAATAATAAATAATCAAATATACAATGCTTTAAAACTCGCCATGCGAAATTGTTTAAAATATGTCAAAAAGGAAAATAAAAAAAAGAAAAAAACATTAAAAAATCAACAAATAATTATGTACAATGATAACGCGTTTTTGTTTTTTTTTTTTTTTTTTTTTTTTTTTTTACAAAAAACAGGTGTTTCATAAGAATAAACTGATTTTTTTTTACCTACGGGATTGTTTCCGTATGGCTTCATTGAAAATAAAAACTCCAACAGGATAGATAGTTCAAGATGCCGGAATTCTTTGTGATACATAAAATTGATTTAAATTCTGTCAAATAAAAACTTTATTTTACCAAATACCAATCAACAACAATGAAGTCAATTTAAAATACGGGTTTTTCATATCAACGCTAAATTCAAAAGGTATGGCAATTTCTTTTTTTACATATTCGGGATAAATCCCAATTGTCCTTGACCGAAAATAAAAGACAAAATATATTTATTCCAATAAAAGGCCTTCAAACCAAAATTTCTTAACTTCATACAAGTAATGATACAATTTGTGATTAAACTAGGATCATTAAATTGAAAAAAAAATACAATAGCTGCGATAAACAAAACTGCACACATTATTTATCAAATTCTTCGTTATCTGTTGTACATTTTTGATTACCTACTCGACTACATAATCCCCAATGTTACACTATTGACATGAATTTCTTGTGATAGAATCTTAATAAGAATTAGTTCTTTTTTTATTTTATCAAAAATAAGAAAGTTCATATAATGTAATAATATATAATAATATATCGAACAAAATTCCCACTGCCGTACGACTGTAATGACTGGTAAAGTGATGATTGGACATGAGTGACAAAAAATAATTGATACAAATTGTGAGCTTGTCCGATGGAAACCCTCTTTTTTTTTTCCTCAGTCTCGATCAATTCAAGCTTACCCATACGTTGTGGAAATGCTTTCTCGATTCGAATCTGACCGATGTGGGTTTCTTCGTTATAAACGGGTTTCCCCTCATTTCGTTTAGGGAACCGGTTTTGTGCCTGGCTCTTTATGTTTCTTGTAAGATGAAAACTTTATCACTCTCATTTCTTCTTTTTTGGGTATATTGTTTTGGGAAAAAAACTATCCTTTTTTATTTATTTTTTTATTTGCTCAAACATTTCATTTGCTTTTACTATGAATCGATATCGATGTTATAAAATTCTAGTTCGCCTTCCTTACATGAAAACCGTTGAAAGATTTTGCTGGTCAAATTCTCTCATCGATCTGATTTTCTGTTAGGTTTTCAATTCAGGTTTGGTAAACTGTTTATTTCCCTCGCGATTTTTCCATGGTTAAAAAAAGTTACCTGTTTAGGAAAGAAATCGCTGATTTTTCTTTCCCTTTTATAGTTTCGCTTGATGTCATTTCAAGTTCTTAAAAGCCCACATCCAACCACTCTCTTTTAAAACCACTTGCTATCATCAAATTACGTTTTTTTTTCTTATCTATTTCGTTTGTCTCTTCGCGATACTCGATTGGGGTAAATAAAAAAAAATGTTTTTTGATTCCAAAAAAAATTATTTATGCCAAATTCTAAGCTTTTAAAAAAAACGCGGAATAATCTTTTCTACATTTAGAAAAGATTTCGATTCGCAAAATATTATTTCAATTACATTCTCTCGTCCCTATTCGTACCTGGCCTTTTTTTTTTTACCTATTTTTTTTATTTTTTTTTTTAATTCGTCAATTAAACAAAAAAAAATTATTTTTCTCGTTTAAATAATTTCGTCGTTTTTCTTTTAAAATTTGTTGAAAAAAGATCATATTTCTTTCTCGATTCATTTGTGCTCCGTAACTAGATTATTCTTTTGCTTTGTGCTTATTTTTATTTTCTTTATATTTTTTATATTATTCTTCATTTTTAACCATTATTATTTTTTTTTTATTCGGTAACAGATCTTTCAATTTCTTTTTTTCGTTCATGATCGATCCGTTCAAACCTTCTAAGATAATCCTTATTAAATTCGTTAAAATCATTTCGATTTTATTTATTCACTTCCCCTTTTTTTTAGTAAACCGAAAAATCAAAAAAAAAAAATACAATTTAAAAGAAAGCTCTCGTCTTTTAGTTTTAAAAAAATTTTTTTTTTCGCGTTTCGAAAAAAAACCTAAGATTTTTTAAAAAAAAAATTAAGTTTATAAGAATAAAAAAATAATTCAAAATTTTTTCTATCAATCTGGCCGCAGCAACGTATCACACTTTTATTTTGACATGAGATAGAACCTCAATTTGTTTATTAGTTGATTTGCCAAATTTGGTTTAAAAACATTGTCTAGACTTTTCACGAATCTCATAGCCCATTTATCACACTAACTCGGTATAGAGTAATTTGAAAAAAAAGGATAAGGCGTTTTAGCGGGAAATTTTTTTTTATTTTGAGCCGAGATTGTGCACTACGCCATTCGGCGTTTGATAACCAAATTTTTTTTTTTAATTATTCCAACATATAAGTTATTAATTATCTATGGGAAATTCTTTTTCGCGCGAACCAAAAAAAAAAAAAATTTGCGCAAATAGTTGATTATAAAAGAGAGATTTTTCCTTTGACCTTATGTGGTTAATGGTCTTGGCGAGAATGATGACATCCATTGACCAAGTAGAATTTGAGCACCAACATGTAAAATTTGACAAATATGGAAAAAAAAAGAGAGATAAGAGAAATCTATCGTGCATATCGACTTGTCATGGGGTTCTGAGAATTTTTTGACTAAAAATTTAATTCTTATGGAATATTATCAATAAATTCTCGGAACCTCACATATATCGAAACGTATTATTTCATGGTTTTTTTTTAAAAAAAAAAGGTTATTACTAAGCTTTGATGATCGTTTATGGAAAAACTTAATACCGCTTTAGATAATGGGGTTTAATATTTAATTAATTTTGGGAATTTCAATTTGTGATAGTATTTAATGTGGCAAGGATTCTCTTTAATTTCGTCCAGAATTCAACGTAAACAGTAATTCACCCAATTAATCAAAACTACGCAAAATAATCAAATATTGTCTCTGTTCAGGAATATTCGGTCCAAAACGATTTTAATAGCATGACCAAGATGCAGGCTCGTAAAAAAAGACTAATACATAAATTAAAACAACAAACAATCTTTTTTTTCTCCACCCAAAAATCAAAATGTTTCCACAACAAAAAAAAAACCACCCAAAATGACACTAAAGTTATTTGTAATTTAAAAATGTATTTCCATTACAAAAAATGCACAACACGATTTTTTAATATATATACCGGTATATGATTGTTGTCGTTTTACCACATGTTTTCATTTCATTTTCTTTTTTTTCCTTTTAGAAAATAAAAAATTAAAAATCAAAACAAATCAAAAACGATTTTCTCCTACCTTTTACCAGGATAAGGTCGAGTAAACAATTTATATTAATATTAATATAATATATGCATGTGTATATATATATAAAAAGACAAAGGTAAAACAAGTGTTCTTGTTTAGAATTGCATTACCAATCATATGTCCGAATTTTAATCTAACGTGACGTTACGAATAACTAATTGTGCTTTTACCCCTGCATGGAAGTTTCAACCTTGTTTACCAATTTGGTTTCGAGAATTATTTTTAGGTTCAGACTATCCTTCATTGGTCATTATCGTTAAAGTGCTTTACATGTGTTCCAAACAATCATCAAAGATATTAATTAAATAGGTTCCATACCGTATATGGTCATGTATTAAATAATAAATACTTTTAAACAAAAAAATTATAAATATTTGACCGAATTCCTCGTTTTTTTTTTTTTTTTTTTTTTTGAAAGTCCGTAAATCGTCGTCTGGCACGCCTAACCTTTACCTTTGTTTCCATCCCCACATTCATTACATTTCATAAAAATCATTTCTTACTAATCTTCATCCCATTCTCATCCATTCAATTTACATAGAAGATTTTTTTTCTTTTTTTTTTTTAATAATAAAAAAAGGGAAAGAATTTTAAAAACACAACATTTTTCAACACCTCACTCTCACCTCCTGTAACAATCAAGAAAAATGAATCAACCTAGAATGGCGAGAAAACACATTTTAGTTTTGGTCGTTCTATTCATTGTTATATTGGTGGCTTCCTCAAATACCGCATCCCCCGTTGAAAATCAACTTGAAACCCGTATTATATACAAACGTCAAAATAACGGTGATCAGAAAACCCCTGAAGAAAATCAACCAGCGGATGTCCCAAAGGATACACCAAAAGAACCAAAGCTACCCATTAAACCGGTAAAAGAGCCGGAAAAAAATATACCTGTTAAAAACCAAGAAGATGCAAAAGATCCGAAAGGACAAGATCCGAAAGGACCATCAGGTAATCCTAAAATCCCAAATGATTCTAAAACCCCCATTGATATTAAACTCCCAAAAGATCAAACTGATAATGATCCTAAAAAACCCGAAAATGTTGCCAAAAATCCTGAAAATGTTGATAATCCTAAAAAAGGTAAAAAACCTGAAAATGAAAATAAAAAACCCGAAAATGAAGGTAATAAAAAACCCGAAAATGATAATAAAAAACCCGAAAATGGAGATAATAAAAAACCCGAAAATGATAATAAAAAACCTGAAAATCCGAAAAATGATAACCTTCCTAAAAATCCTAAAAATGTTAACACTAAAACTCCACCTTTTCCTACTGAAAATGAACTTCCAGCTAAAACACCAAAAGATGCAAAAAATCCAAAAGCACCATTAGATCCCGAAATTCCTATCGATCAAAATCCAAAGGATAAACCAAAGACAAATAACCCAACTGATTCTAATCCTATTACAGACAATCCTGCTAAGGATCCTAAAGATCCTAAAGATCCTGTCAAGGACCCGCTTAAGGAACCTGTCACGGATCCCGCCGTAAAGGAACCTGTCACGGATCCCGCCGTAAAGGAACCTGCCAAGGATCCGCTAAAGGAACCTGTCACGGATCCCGCCAAGGATCCTGCCAAGGACCCTGTTAAAGAGCCCGCTAAGGATCCTGCCAAGAAACCTGTCGATCCAAAAGTTCCCCTTCCAAAAAACCCAATTCAAGAACCAACAAAAGAGCCAACAAAAGCACCTGCTAAAGCAGAGGCAAAGGAAAAAATGTAGGTTGAACATTCCGTAATAAAACTTTTTTTTTAAAAAAATAAAAAAATACATAATTAATTTGATTTTTTTCAAATTCTTTAAAGTCCACCCCCTGTTACTACAATTTTTGAGACGCCAGCTGCTACTCCTCCACCAAAAATTCAACAAAAAAACGGTGAAAAGCCACAAAAATGGTCAACTTTTACAACTTATATTTCTTCCACTTCGGTCATACCAGCTTCTGTGACCAAAAAATCCACTACAATTGATGGTGTTGAAACTGTTGTAGAATCTACCATTCCTCCAAATACCGTGGTTGTGGTGAAAGCTATCGTCACAAGTACACCTGTCGCGGCTGAACTCATGGAGGAGTCTAGCGGAACGATTTTGGATATTAATAAAGGATTGAGTTTTATTTTTGGTAGCATTAGTTCATTATTCATGTTAATAGCATAGAATGAATGAACAAGCAAGCAACTTGTACAATTTTGATATGAAATTTGATTTTATAATAAATTCCATTTGAACAAGCTGAGTTCATAGGATATTTCATTAATTGCAAGAATAATATAAATACCAAATTTCTTCATTGTAAATAATTTTAATCGATTTATTCTGAATATAGAATGATTTATTTATCTTATTTAGTTAGAATAACAAATTATTTTTTTTTTAATCCTCAAAAAAGTAAAATATTGTACCGGATATCTCTAATTTCATAAAATATTAAGAAGCATGGAAATCCACAAATTTTAACTTAAAACTATCAAAATATTTTGCAACAATAAAACTCTGTCAACGATGAATTTTTTTTGATCTAGAAATTATGTTCCGTTTCATTTATATCACGTGATGTAGAAATTTCAGTCGAAACATATTTTTATTTAAAAGACATTGTACTAAAAATCAATTAACAGATATAAACAATGTATTCGCATTAATGCCACAAAAACCGCATCTCATGAAACTGGTGCGTTTACATAGCGTAATTCATTGCATAACTTATTCCTTCCTACATTCGGTACACTAGACCGATCACACCTTTCCAGCATGCATGTCATATATCTTGTTTCTCTTTTGTAATCTTTAGCTCTTTTTTCGAGCTTCAGGTCAATGATTGCAAGAAATTCTGAATTATTTTATCCAGTAGGCAACTCGTTTTATTTATTTACTGCGTCGTTGACGCGCGATGAATTCTTGATTGAATTTATTGCTGCGCCGCCGACGCAATGATTAAATTTTTTTTTTTATCAACATTATGGCTATGATTCATATTTTGTACCAAAAAAAAGGTGTAGTAAACAGCTATTTGATGAACAGATACTCCATAATTATAATCGTTACGACTTATTTCGTGACATTGACCGTTTTTTTATCTTTACGTTTAACGTTAAGGTTATTATCGAGTTGTTGTTGAGTTATAATTTGTTAATATTAATATTAATATAAACCTATTTGGCATGTACAATTCTTCTCAACGTATCTTTTCTTGCCTTCTTTACGGAAATACATAGCTCAATGTCAAGCTCAAAATGTACTATAGTTCAAGAACGATTTATAGGAAGTGATTTATAGAGAATTGATGTATATAACTAAAGCTTTCGCTTGATTCTAACGTTTAAGAAACATTAATCGAAAATTATCAGATTCAATTTATTTTAGTATAATATTTAATTATATTTTTTTTTATTTAGATCTCTATAACATTTATTATCTTAGCAACCAAAATAAGTATAAAAAAATTTTTATTTTACATAGGTAAAGTATATAAATTTTAATAATATATATAATAATTATTAGATACTTATAATAATAAGAAGAATATTATAAATAAACTTTAACTAAAAAGTAAAGTTCCATTAAATTGAAAAAAAAAAATTAAAGCCAGTATTTTTTTAAAAATTCATAGATTTATATAATAATTATACTTATAAAAATTATATAATTTTTTTAAATTGTCATCATATAAATTTTATAATATTAAAAAATTCTAAATTTTAGAATAAAAGCATACTATAATTTATATATATATATATATAATATTAAAAATATTGTTAACATCTAATTTTTATAAAACATGACTGTTAAATAGTATTAATTTTTTTTAATTGAGTAGTAATATTTAACGATTGCTAACTTTATTTAATATTAATTTCAAAAAAGAATTATATGCAAATGTTTATCAGATTGATAATACAATAATTCATAAAGTAATTATGTTTCAAAACATTTATTCATAAATAAAATAAAATAAGAAAATAACAAGAAATAAGAAAATAAGAAAAAAATGAGAAATAATAAAAACAAAAGAAAAGATACAATAGGCCAGTTGCCTCTAAATTGCTAAACTAACTTATTAATTTCTATATTTACATGATTTAAAAGCTGGTTATTTATATAAAATAAATTATATAAAAAAATAAACCTAATATATTATATATGTCTAATTTATCATATTTATATTATGTCTAATATAAGGCCTTTGCAATAGAATTGCCAGAAAAATCAAAAATAAATTAATGCTAAATTTGAACATATTTCAGCATAAAAATCATATTTGGCATATAAAAATAAAATTAATTTTCCCAGCAGTTTCCTCCCTTTCTATTGCAAAAATCTTATATAATAACTATATATAATATGTTAATCATATTAGAAATATCAGAAGTATCAGAAATGTCAGATATATCAGATTAATCATATTTAATAATTATCTAAATTATATATGCTAAGTTATATTTAGGAAAGTGACATATATGATGTAATGTAATTATTAGGAAAGAAGATTTTTAAATCTTTTATATAATCATTAAATTAGCCAATCATAATAAAAAAATAAAATAATTATAGGATTAATATTATACAACCATTTTGACATAAAAAAAATTTTGTTATTATAATACAGAAATTCTAAAAACTTTTTATTAGATTTTATCAAATTCAACTTTTTTAAAAGAATTTGCTAAAAGTATTTCAAATTCACAAACTAATATATTACAGTTATATTACAATAAAATTTAGTAATTCTCATTGATTTATTATAATTTTAAAACTTGCCTAATCTTACAATAACCTTTCTATTCTTGTTATCATAAAAGTAAAATAAGCATCACTTTATAAATTTCTTCTTACTTACCTTTTCTGATTTTACATTATGATTATTTAGAATTAGAACTTATACATCCTATATAAGTACATCTAAAAAATTATCAATATAATTAGTAAATAACTTTTTGCTTAGCTGATTATTCTTGTTATTTTGAATATTTATTTTTCTTATATAAAACAATAATAGAAAGCATTAGAAAATATGTATTAAAGTCAGAATAACAGAGATAATTATAGGTATTTAAATTAATAGAAGGATAATAAGCATCATATCAAGGTATTTTAAGCTTTTTATAATACTCTAATATATAAAGCAAATTTAAAAAATATCTATCTTTTCATTTTGTTATAAGTAGGAGAAACCCATCATTTTTTCAAGAAGAATAACTGTCTCTTTATAACATTTAGGTTAAAGATGGTAACTGTAATTAATTTACATAAGTTGCAACTTTATAAAATTTATTAAAGTTGCAACTATAAGTTGCAA